AATTGTCTAATTAAAATATTTTATGTAATATCAATGTTAAAAATAAATTATACTTTTATAATTTTTTATATCAATTAATAAAAAAATATAATAAATATATTTTTTCACGTGTAATCTAAGTATTTGTTAGAAAAACATATTAAATAAATATGTAGATGACTGAAAGTGAGAATGAGAGAGTATTGAAACACAATGAACTCATGCTAAAATTGAAGTGTGAAGTCAAATGTAAATGGTATATTGCAACATAACTAACACCTATTCGACTCTACCAAGACTTGAAACCCAAGTCCTTGGTACTTGCTATCGTATCCTATAACAACTTTTGAAATAAGATTTTGGTCACCAGCTTAAACTGGAATTATTGTCACTCACTTCACACCATCACACTTGGAGAATAAAAACAGGGGAACAGAAGGAAAAATGAATTTCATGGAATAACATTGAAGTCTTTTAGAGTAATATGCTTAAGAAACCCTTTTCCTTTAAACTTTCAACAGTGTCCTTTAGACTCACATGCAGGGAAATAAAATTCACACCCAAGCTTATTGCTTTCTCCTTGGATACCTTAAGCAGTGTCCCAACATCCTTATCTTTAAATTTTTCGCTGAGGTGCAAATTAGGGTATAATTCATCTAAGATCTTTAACACCTCAGAATAGTCTGCAGTTCTTTCAACCATGCAATATCTCCCACTAGCTGAAGGCACCTCCAATGCTAGAATATGTGCAAATGCAACATCTCGAACGTCAACAAATCGATTAAATGGAGGGAGTTGTCGTCCATTTACAATGTCTATTATGAAATCCACACTAAGATTAATAGTTGGGTGCAAAAGAGGACCGATCACAACTCCTGGATTTATTGCAACCAAATCGATACCATTCTCTTCTGCGAACTTCCAAGCAGCCTTCTCCGCTAATGTCTTGGAAAGTTGGTACCAATGTTTTGATTTCTCGCAAACATCAGGATCAGAAAACCATGTCTCATCCACAAGCACATCAGGGGTCAATGGTTTCCCGGTGTTTGCAACTGCAGCCATTGAAGATGTGAGGACTACTCTCTTGATTGAACTTACTTTTGCACATGATTTAAGAACATTAAGTGTTCCATTGACTGCTGAATCGACTATTTGTGACTTATGATGTTCATCGGATGAGAGAAAAACGGGGGAGGCTGTGTGGAAGACCCCCTCACAGCCATCCACAACAGAATCAAAGCTCCCTTCATCACATAACTCTGCTTTGAATAAATGAAGTCTCTCCTTTGCTCCATCTAGTGCAAGCAAGTGCTCTGTTTTCTTTGGATCATCTGTCACATATTTAAAGAGATTAAAAAAAAAAAAGAAAAGAAAACAGATCGAGAAGATTGAATAATACTGACTAGGGTCACGAACGGTAGCCTTTGACGGTATACCCACGCTGGAGCAGGAGCTTTACAAGCCAAGAGGCTATGAAACCCGACGCTCCGGTGACGCACACTGTCTTCCCTTCTCCTTCTCCACCCATTTCTCTGAACTTCTCTATCTCAAGTTGCTAGCTGTTTCTTGCTTTTCTGGACAAGTGTGATGAAAACGCCCCAGCGAATTTATTTATAACCATACACTAAATCCTGTTCCAGCAAACTTCTCTAACAGTCAAAATGAAAAAAAAATCAGCTCTTATGTCATGAAACTTGGGCCTTGAGTCAGCATCTACGATAAAATGCGAAAACATAGATCAGCGCTTAGCTCATCCGACTTTGAGATGGCTCGGTTTCAGGGACGGAGCCAAGAAATTCAATTAGAGCGGGCGAGAGCATTATTGTTGAAAATTTAAGCTTTCAAGTACTTTGTGAGACGCTAATTTATTTTTTTTAAAGTCTTTGTTTTATTAGTTTTTTCATCGATATATATTTTTTTTAAAAATAAATGTATTTATCAAAATAAAAAATAAAATATCACAATAATAAATTATGTAATGATCAATTAAAAAAAATAAATAAAGAATCATTACATAATAAATAAATAAAGAAACATGTTTATTAGCTAAATTTTTTTTTTAAAAAAGAAAATATTAAAAGATTATATTATTTCAATAAACTTATATTGAAAAAAATAAAGATAACATATTTTTAAAGTAAGAATGAAAGTATTTTGATTTTATTAAAATAACATAATTTTGGGGTGTTTTTCCTTTTATTTTTTAAAATTTATGTTAATAAACACTAATATTATAAAAAAATATTAGAATATTTCTTTTAAAAAATAAAATTTAACTTAGATTAATTTAACATAAAAAAACATAATTATAAATTCAATCAAAAAAGATAAAAACTTACAATGATACCAAACAAACAAAAATTTTATATTATTATATATAATATTAAGAAAGATAAAAAAAATAGTAAAGGAAACTATAAATTTAAAGTTATTTAAATATAAAGTTAAATTTTTTTTCTTATCCTTAATAAATGAAGAAATGTTTAAGAACTCTTATTCTAAATTAATTAATTAAATTAATATAAAGTTCATTTCATTTTGAATCATATCCTTACTTTTTAAAAACTCTTTATTTAAATTCTAAATATTTTTTTTACGCTTGAAATGGTTATTGAAATTCATATTATAAAAACAAAATTTTTAACAAATAAAAGTTAAAGAATCATATTAAATATTTTTTAAAAGTTTAAGGGGGCGGCTGCCCCCCTTGTCTTTCATTGGCTTCGTCGCCGCTCGGTTTGTTATTTATTGTAATGAAATAAAGTATTTTACCGCTTGGGATTAATATAGTTTTTCTTTATGTTGTTGGAGTTAGTTTAGTTGAGATGAAAGGACTTTTATTTGAATATTATTACATAGAATAATATCCACTTATTTATAAATTTTATAAATATTACATTTATATAAAATTTTAATATATTTTTATATTTTTAAT